GCTGGGAACAGAGCTGAAAAGCTCCAGCCTGGAATATTTTTCAGGTTGTAATTTTCTTACTTTCTCCATATGTGTCCCACAGAACAGTCAGTCTCATTCACAGGGAAAGTCACAGGTTTACAACACAGCTCACTGTGGCATATTTGCACTCAAGAGGATATTGCTATCTAGGTGGTTCTTCAGTCCTCAGCTCCTTTTGCTAGGCTTTTCATTAAGAAATATCCTCCAGAAGATTTATATCTATGACTTTAAATTTCCTTGATGCCTAAAGCAGAAATGCTAAAATCCTATCCAAGCTTTTGTAAGGAGTGTAGAATTGACAGCTACACAGTAAACATGAAACTTGGTTAGTGATTGAAAGGATTCAGAAATTGCTGACAGTACTCAGATGGGGGTAAATAAATTGTCTAGACCTCTTGTACTTGTTCTGCATGGGTGTGCTGAGAAGTAGTCTGTAAAAAAAGGGTGGTTGAAATGGCAAAAGTTGTAACTGTCCATTTGTTAAAAGGCAAAGTAAATTATGAGCTTGAGAAAACCATTTTGGAATATTTCATATGCAATGACCAGCACCAGGGAACAAAGTCTGGGTTTTTTCATATTGATAATAGTATAGAGGTGATGAGGAAAGATTCTTAGGTAAAAGGAGAGGGACTAAAACCAAAGTCCCAAAACAAAGTTTTAATTGATTATAAAATATCTGAAACTTTAATGAGCATTTTTCATTTCCTCTGCAAGTTCTGTTCTCACCCTGAATCATTCACAGAAAATGCAGTGAAATAAAAAGGATTTTCTTATAAATGTCCATGCCAAGAAATGGTAAGATGAAAGTAGATGTTTCTCATTATTTGCAAAAAACGTTTCTGCATAATTACTTCTGCCACAATTTCATTGCTTTAGTGTCCCCTTGAAAGATTGCCTTACAAAGTGTGTTTTACTGCAGTCCTTAAAGATAATGCAAAGTTGTATCTCTGCTGCTTTAAGTGAAAAGGCATTGTAAATGCAAACTCCCATTTCTCCTTTCACCTAACCAGAGTATGCATTCGGTGCCCTTGAGAGTGTTTCAAAGTTTATGTAATATATTCTGAACAGTTTTTATTTCAGCAGGATGCATATTCCAGACGGTCACCAAAAGGTTGGGATGTTCCAGTTAGCAAATATTATAATGATCTTTATGGCCTCAATCTGAAACTCTACCTGAAACTTTGTGTGGATTTTTGAATACAAGCTGTGCTTCTAAAATTGCCTTTAGGAGGTAGCTTGTTAGTTTCTGCCTTCTCATCGTATCCCTGCAGTAATAGATCTTGGTTTTCCAGGATCCAATTACATTGCATGAGGCTATCCAGAAGACATGGATACAGGCTAGTACACTGCATATTTGAATTAGCTTTCCATATAGAGCTGTTTGACCTCCGAGTCTCCTTCCCCTTGCATGAAACACTCAATTCTGTATCACTGTCTGTGTGCTGTTGAATGCCAGGGCTGGCTCAGTCCTGACTGAGACCCTACACAGGCCATGCGAAGGGAAACAAAACAAGGTTTTCCTGTCACCTCTGTTCCCTGGGGACTCCAGGCTCTCAGACAGTGTAGGAGGAGCCTTTGTAGGGGCTGTCTTGCAGGTTCCACTGCTTTCTTGGCTATCAGAGGAGGCAAGAGTTGTCACTTCCTTACAGTCTGGTGATCAGAGCATTCTCTGGTGGGTAGAATGGCCATCTGTGTCTTGTACAGCAACCAAACTAGTCAAGCTTCCTTTTAGGCAACAACCCTGCTGTTTAGAAGGTACTTGGGAATTCATTCTGAATAGCACTTTAGTGGAACAAAAGAAAGTTTCTAGTTTCTGGTCCTTAATAACTAGGGTAAATTTTTCCCCTCCATATTGTGCTATTAAGGAGCTGTTAAATAGAAGCATAATTAATATTAAATTAATAAATCCTAAACTCAACAACTTCCCTGCCTGTCCTGGTAAAGAGAAAAAGACAAACCTTGAAACACCTTGCCATGAATTTGTCTTATTGAATCTCCATCTTCCTCCTAACCCCATCGAAATCCTCAGTTCAGAAACAATTTGAGCTCTACTTTTCATTCACTTGAATGACTACAGGAGTGCAATAAGGATGCATTGTGTTGTGCTAAACAATTGCCTGTTGGTTTCAAGGAAGAGCCAATATTAGAATTACCGTTTCAGTGAGGGTGTTGGCAGCAGAATACCTTTCCACTTGGGTGCCATCTTCCTGTGGAAATTAATTCAAATCTCAATCTATGGGCTTCATTTTATGTAACGTCTTGTAGGAGGTGGTTTCTGAGCTGCAAAATTTTGATTCATATTTTCTTATCCATATCTGATTGGATATGAAATCTGGAGCATGAGATCAAGTTTTTCCAGTTTTTAAACAAAATATAATCTGAGAGGGAGGGAGGGAGGGAGGAAGGAAGGAAGGAAGGAAGGAAGGAAGGAAGGAAGGAAGGAAGGAAGGAAGGAAG